CATTGCTACGACAAGTAGTAGGAGACTGGCACATTGGATTATGTGCACTGCACAGGTTGCACAGTATGCATCATGGCCTCATACTGACTCGACCTTACACGCTTTTAACAAGAAGTAGCTACGGACATGGCCATTAAAGGGGAAGTTAAGGCAAAAATTAAAATTTCACCAGTTGTAGTCTTCGGGGTGCTGAGTCGAATGGTCGTGGTCCGAGGAAGCTGAGACGCTCCCTTCCTACTTGAATCCCAATCGAACTCGCGCACTTCCACCGAAACTGGGTGACTGCGCCCTACGAGATGGGGATTTGTATGCAAAATGTCACTAAAAGCGCCATTTCGTTCTTATAAAAGCACGGATGGCCGCGATTGGCCCATATGTTGTAGTCTTTTGGACGCTGAGTCGACTGGTTTTGGTCCGAAAAGGCTGCGATGCAGCGTTCCGCCTTTATTCCCAATCGAACATGGTTGAACAAGCGGTCACGTGCTCCTGCGTACGCCAGTCACCTGGTCACCGTGCCTGCAGGGTACAACTTACTAGCCTGTTTGACCTTTTTTGGGTGCAGTCCTGTCACTCGAGTTGAACTCCAGTTGAACCTTGGTGTGAAAGTTGTCACCTGCTGGCGTGGTGACCAGGTGATTTGGGCACCCAGGAGCACGTGACCACTTCTTCAACCATGTTCGATTGGGAATAAATGAGGAACGCTGCATCGCAGCCTTTTCGGACCAAAACCAGTCGACTCAGCGTCCAAAAGACTACAACATATGGGCCAATCGCGGTCATCCGTGCTTTTATAAGAACGAAATGGCGCTTTTAGTGACATTTTGCATACAAATCCCCATCTAGTAGGGCGCAGTCACCCAGTTTCGGTGGAAGTGCGCGAGTTCGATTGGGATTCAAGTAGGAAGGGAGCGTCTCAGCTTCCTCGGACCAAGACCATTCGACTCAGCACCCCGAAGACTACAACTGGTGAAATTTTAATTTTTGCCTTAACTTCCCCTTTAAAGATAGTGTGGAGGGATGGAATTACCCAATATAACGGTGGGAAATGATTTGAAATGCTTCTTTGTTGAGCTACGGTGTAATATTTTCCAGAGCAGGACGCTTCAACGAACCCTCCCCTCAAGTTAGACTCAATGTACCGCGTTACCCCTTGGATTATCCCAGGTACATACTGCCCCTGGATTACCCCCGGTACAGTTTTACCCCCTGGATTACCCCCGGTACAGTTTTACCCCCTGGATTACCCCCGGTACAGTTTTACCCCTTGGATTGCCCCAGGTACATCTTGCCCCTGGATTACCCCGGTACAGTTTTACCCCTTGGATTGCCCCAGGTACATCTTGCCCCTTGATTACTCCCGGTACAGTTTTACCCCTTGGATTGCCCCAGGTACATCTTGCCCCTGGATTACCCGGTACAGTTTTACCCCTTGGATTGCCCTAGCTACATATTTGCCCCTTGGCTACTCAAGGTACATTTCATACTGTACAGTCCTAATCTGCACACTTAGGAATTTTGAATCTGAAAATTAATGTTATATTCAAATTGCATTGCCCTGTATTGCGGCAAATGCGGTATGTCCAAACGCCGTGGGCTTCTCATGTGAATGCATGGCGGTTTTCTTTGATTTTCATTGTTTTGTCGACAGGCCGCAAGCTGCATCGGAGAAGGAGTACCTAGGATTTGCTCGTGACATAGCGGATGGTATGCTCTACCTCAGCTCAAGGGGCTTTGTACACAGGGTGAGCAAAACTGCATATTATGTCTAGCTGTTGTTAAAACGTTGTCTTGCCTTTAGGGCACACCGTAATGTCATGCATTTTAAAGCCCGTCTCGTATAGAAATTTGTTTTGAACACAAGCCTGATTATCCAGATGCACCGTTGGCGCATAAGCCTGGTTTTAGTGTTGACATGGATGGATATACCTGGTTCAAATAGAAGCCTGACTTGAATGCAAGCCTAGCACTAACAGTGACATCGGCTTCTACAGAAAGAAGCCCAGCGTTAATACATTACGGTAGACCGTGGAAAAAACAATGCCCACTTGATTTTTTTTCAATTAGGAGGAGTTCCCACATGGTTGCAAATATGTTATTCTGATTGCATATATGATCTCATATGCTTTGGTCTGATACTGTAGGACCTGGCGGCTCGTAATGTTATGCTGGATGCTCGTAGGACGTGCAAAGTAAGTTAGTGGTTGTGTTAGTGTGTAGCCGTGTGGTAGCCACTCTTCTCCGGTAGGAGAGGGGTCAATTTCGGACATAGCAAGACGCGATATACGTAACAATGTCATGTTGCTAAGCACCTACAGCATTATCGTTTCTCCGCCATGTTTTGTGAGGAGACCATTATAAACACTTTCAAAGTTTCAAGTAAATATCACCCTGGTCACCTTCATATCATTTGAAAATAGAGTTCAATTTTCAAGTTTAGTAGCATCTTAAGCTACAGTAGCAACAGCAGCTGCTGCTGCTGCTCCTCCTCCTGCTGTTGATGCTGCTGCTGCTGTTGATGCTACTCCTGCTGCTTCAAGTCCAGCGGTTTCAACTTGTGCAGACTCTTGTGTATGCTGCCCTGCTCAGGCTATGTTATTCAATGCCTGAACCACTCACCGTAATGTCACAAATAAAAGCGTGACTCGAATAGAAGCCGATGGTTCGAGGCGTGCCGTGACACAGAATCACGATTCTGCGCTCCGAAAAGTACATGTGCAAACACATGGACAGTGCAGACTGATGATGTTGATGTACGTTTAGATGCATGTTTTGAATAGAAGCATGTTTTGAATAGAAGCATGGTTTGAACCCCAGCTTAAACGGCCATAAGCACCTGATTTTATAAGCGACATTACGGTACGCTAAGCGACATGTGACCAATATTGTAAGGCAAAATCAATTTGCCTAGAAAACCTGGCCTTTTTCGACATAAATCCCTACACCTTATGCTAGTTCACATGGTTTTAACAAAGTTGTTCGGTTGCAAAACAATGTGTTACAAATGCCTGTCAAACAGTCTTGAATGCTCTTCTGGTGTCCCTGCTATTTATCATCGGCTAGATTGGTGATTTTGGAATGAGTCGCGACCTTGAAGACAACAACTACTACACGTCAGCTGGTGGTGCCATACCGGTGAAGTGGACAGCCCCGGAGGTAACAACCCACTCTCCGAGTCTTACTGTGCTGCTGTTGTTGTGTGTAGCAATCGACTCTGTCGCTGTGCTGCTGTTGTGTGTATGTTTTCAAGCAAGATACCTGCCTATGGTCCGGAAGGGGGGGGGGGGAGGGGCGTGGCTGTGTGCGGAGTTACATCAAGCCACTTGACAACTGCTATGAAGTGGCTACCTCTTCCTGCTCCAAATGGCGCAAGTCTTATCTTTGTTTGCTAGAGAAGCAAAATACAACCAGGAAGCTGTCACTGCGACCAGTGCGACAGATGGTTCCGGAGCAAGGGTGGATTTCCCCGACAAAAGTGCTCGCCAGCAACACATCAGCAGATGCACCTTCTGGCCGTCTTGAGTCACCAGTTACACACAATGTGTCCTGTGAACGCTGCAATTTCCACTGCGCTTGTTACAACCGCTGTGTATTAACACGCCCAGGCACGAATCATCACAAATGCAGCTGTGGTTCGGCCAGAGCAACACGTACAGACTGCAGCTCTTTCCGCATCGTTTGCAATTGCAGTCGGCGTTTCAGTAGACCACAAGACCTATCCCACTATCGTCCTTACTACTTCAAACCTGCTCACCCCCCCCCCCCCCCCCCATGGGGTCCGCATTGCCAGATCATGGCAGCGTGTCCAAGGTCCAGTGTGTGTGTGTCTGTGTGTATGTGTGTGTGTGTGTGTGTGTGCGCGCGCATGCATGCACGGACATGTCTTTCTGTCAATCTGCCTGACTGTGTCTGTAGTTTTTGGTTTTGACGAGCACAATTATGCAAAGCTTGACTCTGCCGTCATTTTCCGTCTCTCTCTTTATCTCTCTCTCTCTCTCTCTCTCTCTTTCTTTCTTTCTCTCTCTCTCTCTCTCTCTCTCTCTCCTCTTTCTTTCTTTCTCTCTCTCTCTCTCTCTCTCTCTCTCTCTCCCTCCTCCCTCCCTCCCTCCCTCCCTCCCTCCCTCCCTCCCTCCCTCCTCCCTCCCTCCCTCCTCTCTCTCTCTCTCTCTCTCTCTCTCTCTCTCTCTCTCTCTCTCTCTCTCTCTCTCTCTCTCTCTCTCTCTCTCTCTCTCTCTCTCCTCTCTCTCTCTCTCTCTCTCTCTCTCTCTCTCTCTCTCTCTCTCTCTCTCTCTCTCTCTCTCTCTCTCTGTTTCTCTCTCTCTCTCTCTGTTTCTCTCTCTCCTCTCTCTCTCTCTCTCTCTCTCTCTCTCTCTCTCTCTCTCTCTCTCTCTCTCTCTCTCTCTCTCTCTCTCTCTCTCTCTCTCTCTCTCTCTCTCTCTCTCTCTCTCTCTCTCTCTCTCTCTCTCTCTCTCTCTCTCTCTCTCTCTCTCTCTCTCTCTCTCTCTCTCTCTCTCTCTCTCTCTCTCTCTCTTTCTCTCTTTCTCTCTCTCTCTTTTCAGGCTATACATTTTCGCCAGTACAGTCACTCGAGTGATGTGTGGAGCTATGGCATTGTGCTATACGAGATATTCACGATGGGACGCAAGCCCTACGCAGGCTGGCCGAATGATGAGGTAAGCAAAGGAGCTGAATACTGACTACATCATTCTTATGAAGGGTAGACTTAGACTTAGATTGGTACATTGGAACTCCGATAAGACATATCCCCATGGGAAACAGGTCTGTGTGCTAAGTATCCGAGGTATTTCTCACCCAAACACACTTCATAATCGGGCAATGCAAAGTCATGAATACCCAGCCAATGTCTGTACTAAGCCAAATTAATGAACGTCTTATCAGTGTCTTATCAGAAGGAAGCATGGATGCAGTGAATGAGATTTTTGGTCTTTGACCACTTGGTGGTGGGTCTGATCTACTCACGTCCCACCGTTTTAGGAGCTGCA